AATTCACTGCAGCACAAGTAGGGTCAAAGCCTGCCATCAAGTGCTTTAGAATAGATCAAAATGCTGTATAATATATTCAGAACTGTCAACCCACCAACTTGTCCAGGGACAATAATACTCATGGTCTGGGAAACAAAAAGGAGAAAGGTAAAGGAATTGTTTTTAAAAGAGAGGAAGGGAGAAGGCTCTAACAAATGATGCCACAAAAAGAGCACACTGAAGAAAAACAGTGATGGAAGAGAACACAGAAAATGTTGCTTGAAATTAAAGTCTTCAGAATTCAAGCAAGGAAGCAAGGACCTCTAATAAAAAGCTTTCTTTCTGTGACTTTGTCATTAATAATCTTTATAGTGTTCCCACAAACAATAAAATGTCATCATAAATCCAAACTTTGATGCAGAAAATAACCACCACCTATCCCAGCTGAAAAAAAAGTTGTGCTTTTGAATACGTGCATTTTTATTTTTCAGTCAATAGCCTGTCCCACCTGAATAAGAGGTGCTACTGTAGGCAAGTTGTACAAAAATAAAGGTAGCACAAAGAAACATCCAAAATGTATTTTCTCCCCCCTCGCCCTTGGATGGCTTTTGGGGAAGACAGGAGCTTAAGTGAAACTGCATTTAAGTTCAGTAGCACATTGTTTTTCTGTCTGAGCAGTAGCAGACCAAAAGCCTTGTGCATGTGCTCTGAAGTTGCCCAGACACAGTGCTCAGAAAGACCCTTAAGCCAACAGCTCAGTCCTGTGCCTGAGGTGCCCCTGCAGATCAAAAGAACAACGCTTGCATTTGTGCTTCCCTCTCTGTATTGCTGCCTCAGAACTAAAAATCAGCCACAGTTGTCTAACTCCTTGCTTTCAAGAAGCTGCAAAGGTATTAAAGTTGAGTTTTGGAGAGACACAGAAATTTTCATGTATTATTCAGATTTGACCATTTAAGAGGAAAGTAGACATTTGTCAAACAACTGTCTTACTCTCAATATATTTCATTAAATACCAATATAAATTCTATTAAATACTAGCACACCATTTACTCCTTGAACCACTTGAGCAGGCTCAAATACTGGTATTTTCCCCTTGTTTTCCCTTTTTATTCAATTTCCAAAAGTATCAACTAATTGCAGGGGTTTCTTGAGTGGGAAGGGGGAGAGGGAGGTAGCCCTAAGAACAGAAGAACTTCAAATAGCCATCCAAATGGCCATCCATTTCCATGTGTCTTTTTTCTGTCTCCTTTGTGTAGTATTTTAAGGATCCCATAATCAGACCGTAGTTAGATTGTAAATTGATGAATTGTGAAAATAACTTACAAACCAATTTCCTTTATTTTGCTTTAAATATTTCACTTCCCACAGTAGCACAGAGCTGGAGACTGTGCTCAGAAATATCCCCCCAAAAGGCCTGCAAATCTCTCCAAAACAAATCAGATATCTCTGTTTTGTTTTGTAAGTGATCAGTTTGATGTTCTGTCTTCTAAGTAACAAAGGGCTGTTGGCAAACTCACAACTAGTTCAGGCACACAGGTCTTACTTGTCATGTGTGATGACTTCAGAATTAGGTCTTTTATTTGCATCACTTTTCTGTGTTTCATTCTTTGGTCAGAACTTGATACCTGATGCCATTCAAATGAGTTCAAACTCATTTTCATTACTTGTGATGGTGAAGATCAGGCAGAGCTTGTTCAACGCATCTCTGCAGTGGAGGCAACATTTCAGTGCTTGGAACATAAGAAGGGGCAGGGAGATGGCAGGCAGGAGAAGCAGAAGGGGTACAACAGGCAGAAAAGCCCTGGATTGCCAGGCTGGCTACTGCTGCTTAGGAAAACAAAAAAAAAGCCAATGGGCAGGCAAATGCTGGGGCCACCAGCCCTACCTGTGCCCTCCAACACCAGCTGCAGCCGCTCCCCTTGGTCTTCAGCACAGAGCAAGGGGCCAGCAAGGCCCTGACCCTTCCTGAGCTGCTCAGCAGCTCCCAGGTTGCTGCCTCCTCTGGGTAAAACCTAGAGCTTCTTGTGAAATAAAATGTGTTTTTAGAAAAATACTGTGTTAGGATTAGAAACATTGTTAATTTTCATAACAACAACTAATATACTTGCCTTGCTTTGGTCTTGGCAGGATGCCGACTACTTTTAAAGCATAAATTTTGTTTCAACTTCCAGTGAAAGTACTTCCCTTTGTGCTGCTGATGTGCTGCACTCATTATCTGTAGTTAATCCAATTCCTAAACTGAATAAACATAATTAGTTAATATTAAAGTTTTAGAAGTAATCCTGACCATGTTTTCAGGAAGGTGAAAATGATATTAGAGTTGGTTAAAATAAAATTAAACCAAAATTGGCAAAAAGTAAATAATGGGATTTCATAACTTTTTCAAAATTGTTTCATTTAACTTCCAAATCACAGTTACCATCTATTTGATACATATATGTGCATACATGTGTGTGTGCAAGAGAGATACAAGCACAAAATTAAGAAAAAGAAAGCCGTGGCATTACGAGATAAACAATTCCAGAATTTTCAGCTACACAGTAGTTTGCTGAGAACACTAAAATCTACCTGGTTTACTTAATGTGTTTCTGTGGGCAAACATTCAGAAGGATGTGAAAATAATGAGGAAGTTTTTGATCCATCCCTTCTTTAAGTACATTTTAAAAACGCTCTAATGATAAAGAAATGGTCTGATTTAGAAATCAGCGTCTATAATGTTGTTTCCAGAATTTTGTAGACAGCAGTGTTTAGAGGCATTTGCTAGCAGCCCACATCAGTGTGTCAGGCAGAACAGCCAGCATGGAGCAAAAACAGCACTTCAGCAGCCTGTTACTACAAACTACACCTGGGCTAAGGGCCTCTTAGAATAACAGGCTATAGTCATCAAAATAAGTTTAAAAATAGGGAAGGTATTTGTTTTATAATAAATAAATATTGTTTACTTAACACTTGGGAAAATTTGGATAAATTATTCCAGGCAAAAAATGTGAAACATCTCATATGCTGTTTAAGTGGGATTTAATGAACTATTGAATCCCACTCAGTCAAGGCAAACAATGGTCTTTGTTGATGGGACAGATATTTCACCATTTTCATTGCCTGAACTGTTGGAAGCATCCCAGCAATGACTAGTCTAGAACATGCAGATTCAGTAGCTGTACAATCAGATAAAGTACTTTGACTTTGCATATTGAGACAGCTAAATATATACAATATGAATAATAAAGTCAACATCAAAGATACATAGCCTCAGTTATAAGAGTTGCAATGCAAATATTGACTTCTGAAACACAGTTCATTTTTTCTGCCTGTTACTGTTACATGTTCTGGGTTGTTAATCTCATCACATTTATTTGGTGATGACCTACTGTTTCTTATACATAAGAGAAACATTTTTTTTTTAATGCATATATAGAACATGAAAATTCAGACACAGGGCCATCATCAACGTGTTGGTTTTTGTACCTTAATATTCAAAGTTTTCCATTACAATTCAGAAACTGGACAACAATGTTAAATCCATAGCTCTAAGTAAAAATCTTTGATTGCTAAAGGAATCACGAAAAGAAATAATGATTTAACTGTTCTCTCTCAATTGCATCTACAGGTTTCTAACACACTGCATTATCATTTATCCCACTTGGATGCAGAAAATGAGAAAGCATTTGTCAGAGAGTCCTTCTAGACTGAGAAAATTATTTTTCTGAAAGCAAGCCAGGACAGATAAGATTACCAGTGAGGTCACTGGTGCACTAAAATGGTACAGATTTATGTAGAATTGCATCACTTAAGAATTTTTCAATTCGAAGACTATTTCAATTGTAATTCTTGTGATATTTGGGTTGCTTTTAGAAATAAGAGAATTAATATCTGCAAAACTGTACTTTTTCATAGCAATAAACAGTAACATTTAAAGCAAAATTAACAATATTTCCCCTATTCTGAATTATTTAGGGTATTTCCAGGCTAAGGCATACATAAACAGCATATAATGTTGAGTCTCCTTCTAAACCAAATAATCTTTTCCCTAATTCTCTGAGTTAAAATTTTTACTGTAACATTCTATCTAGATCACACATTTAAGGTCTTTTCTGAAAGTGCCTCCCCTATGAAAGGCAGAGCTTAATCTATCACATATTCCAGTGATACCATCTGGAATAAAACATAGATTGATACATTTAATTAGTATGTTTCTCATACCTCTGCATTTTTACCCATTAAATACTTCAATGGAGTAATACAAAGCAAAGCTGTCAATTTGTCAAATACTATAACATCATGCAGCCTGTATTATTTTCTCTTCACTCTTTTGTCAAATCTGATCTCTGAAGTTATCAGGCTACAGTATCTAAGATATCTAAGATAGCTTTAAGATGCCATGAACCAAAGTAGCAAATCTAATTAAGATGAAATAGTTGATCTATAATGGAAATAACATTATCTTTTTTCCAGATGTATATACCATATAACCCCTATCCAATAGCATGCTGAATTTCCTGCCTGTGCTTGCCTTATCTTTTTTGCATAGTTTTTTCAGATCATTAATACATGCAGTTCTTAATTATAAAACCTTACCTTCTCATGCAGATTATTTTACTTTAGCAAAGCCATATTGCATTTTTAACCACTCTTCATGGTTTCCAAAAGTTCCAGATACATTTCCCCCTTCAAATAATAACACACCTGCCTACAGTTTCGGTTCTGTAATAACTATAAAGATGCAGATATTAGTACAACGAATGTATTAGCATTCATATTATTTTGTTATTAATTAATCATTCATAAAAAATAAGTATCGTAGTCAGTGGCCAAGATAGTTGTCCAAGACTACAGCCTTAAAAAATAAAGGATGAGAAAATATCAAGTAAAATAAAAATTTAAGTGCTTGAAAAAACATGTCCCCTGTTTATATGTCACAGGAAGAGGAGGGAGGTAGAGCTTTAATTCTGGTTTTAGTGCAGTTTCTCCAGTAGATGAACTTATTCTGCTTTTCTTTCCCTCCCTCCCCTGCTATCTTGCAGCAAACGTATGCGACAATGAACTACTGCACTGCCAGAACGGAGGAACGTGCATCAACAACGTGCGGTGCCAGTGCCCTCCGGCTTACACTGGCATTCTGTGCGAGAAGTTGAAGTGTGAGAGGGATCCAGGAGGCTGCAGCCAGAACTCAGGCCAGGGGGCAATGGCACACAGGTCTCTGGTACTGCTGACCGCTCTGCTGGGAGCAGCAGGACTCTGCTCGTGGTAGGCTCCGTGTGCTGGGCGGCGTCACACTCAGACTGCTTGAAATGAACGTGCCACATGAAAACGGGATAGCACCCGAGCGTTTGCTACCGAAATCTAAATAGGGAAAAAAAAAAAAAAAAAGAGAGAAAAAATCACCACATACAAACTAAGAAGGCCCAACTGAACTAAGCCATATCAATCAGTTATGGACAGGGCTCTGAGTCAAGACTGTTCACCTCTGACTCGAGACACGTTGGCAGCTGCCTGTTCTGTCAAACCAGTCAATGCTGGCTGCAAAGCTGACACAGGACTGAAATAGCTTGGACAGCCCCCAGAATGGGAAGAGAATTTAAACAACATTTGCTACTCCTCTATGGTGCGCTACTGTACCTCCGCCCGGTGTGTGGACCGACCAAATAAAGGCATTCTTTGCTGTCAGTGCATTGTGGGTATAAGGAAATCTGTAAAAGCTGCCATATTGGCCTGCTTCAGTCCCCAAATCCTTCCCAACCTGTGCTTTAGTGAACGTTGCTCTGTAACCCTTGTTGGTTGAAAGATTTCTTTGTCTGATGTTAGTGATGCACATGTGTAACAGCCCCCTCAATAAAACTCGAGCCAGTCATATCCTTGTATACCTTAGAAGCACTGCATCAGTAAGATGCTGTGCTCACCTACTGTACAAGAGTGGCTATAGGACAAAAAGTGTATTTATCCTTTTGTATTCAAATGAAGTTATTTTTCTTGAAATAATGTACAATGTAGATTTTTTGTATTATTGCCTATTTGTGTTACCAGACAATTTATTAATGTATTTAATTCTAATCAGATAAGAGAAAACTATTACTTTTTATTTCGTCCTTTTCTTTTTCCTTTCATTTAATTGTGCAGAGATTTCTCTGTATGGGCAACGTGCTGGCATCAAAGAATATCAGTTTACATATATAACAAGTGTAATAAGATTCCACCAAAGGACATTATAAATGTTTTCTTGTTGCTTTAACACTGGAAGATTTCAAAGAATAAAAATTCCTGCATAAACAGTTCCAGGATGACGTATTGCTATTTCTTAAGGCCTTTTTAGAAAACAAAAAACGAACAAAATGTTTATGATTTTACCACCTAGTATGTGGAAGAAACCCAGATTCAAAAGTGGAAATCACATCATAACAATCTAACCTGGCTTTATTGTTACTACTGTCATACTCTTGCAAGCAACTTTATATGTAAAGGACATAATTTACTTGAGGAAGCTTTCATCAAATCCTAAGGTTGAAAAAGGTATGAAAAGTTGAATAGCTCTCATCTTTGTTCCCTCAATGAATCACAGACATTATTCCAACACCAAATTACAAGGTAGCATAGAAGCTAGTCTTTAATTCACTTTTAGCTAGTCTTTAATTCGACTATTTTTGTGGATTATGGCAGTAATGAAGTGGGTATAACTACAGCTCATATTGTTTCTCCAAAAGCTTCATTAAAATGATATGTTTATATATGTACTAGTCTGCTTAAGAAACTGCAAAAACAGCAGCAATCACAAAAAAGCAAAGATTTAACTTTTAATCAAGTAAAATTCAATATTTAGAAGGAATGTCAAAATATACAGCAGTGAGTAGGTAAAAAGTGCTGCTCCAGCAAATAAAATTTATTTCAAGTATTGCCCAGGGTGTAATAAATTCTTGTTTCTGCCTTTTATTAGGCCAATTACTGAGTGTGACAGAAAAGGAGAGCAAGAATAGAGAGGAAAGCCAAAACCACAGCAGCGTTTCAAAGAGCCGGGGAAAAAAATAAAATCAAGAGGTAGCGAGACTGTGTGAATTCATTTCCTGGCAATTTTCATCATAATATTTATAAATATTTTACCAACATAATAGCCTAGTAAGGAAAACAATAAATGGTCAAAAGAAGAAATCCTGAGAGAAATCCATTCTACCTGGGTGCCTCTTCCAAATGGTGAACAGCCCGGGATTGAGAACACTCCCTTCTCGGGTAACCTCTTTCTGCTGAGGAAACAAGTTTTGCAGGACAGTTCCCAGCCTCCAGAAGCGGGTAGGGAAACCAGGTCTTCCTTTCTAAAAAGAAATAGGATTCTAAAAGAATCCTATGAAGAGGCTGATGTCAACAAGCTGGTGCTTCTTCAGGCTGTTGCCTTGACCCTTCATCATGTAGAATGTTTGCTGTTCACTCTGCCACTCTCTTTTGTGGACTACATAAGAGAAAGCACAGATAATTTAAGTGCCTGACTAGATGCCAGTCGTGGCCTACATGAGACTGCAGGTATATTTTAGAAGCATGTTCTTGACAATAAACAGAAAATTATATTGAGCATACTCATCAGGAATATAAATGCTAATACAGGTGGCATACAGAGTCAGAGATTACCTATAATTAAGTGGATTTTTGGTATTAAAATGTGGAATTTAAGTTTTCTTAAAGCTTTTTAGCAGAGACCAATTCAGGTTGTGTAATTATTGGAAAAGATGCGTTTTAATTGTCATTATAAACTCAAGGCTTTGTGAAAGTGCTAAGCAAGCATGTTATGCATATTTGGTTAGAAGGGATTCTGCCAGCAGTGCTGAAGTATAATGAATGTAAGGTCACAATCAATTCAGCTGCATTCCAATTTCATATACTTATGATCTTCTAAACCAGGGCAGAGTATATGGCTTTCCACATATTTACCTACTATTTCATGCATTTTATCCTCCCTCACCTATTAATAAAATTACACTTTTATACAGGAGTATATTCAGTGGCAAGTTTTCTCATCAATCACCCTTTTCTTCAGCTTCATCATTTTTTCCTCTGAACTCCACAGAACTTCACTAATTGAGAATTTTGAGTAACTGTTTCTGCTACTGTATTCCAGGTATATTTCTAAAATTATGTGTGCATCTTTGAAAGAGGAGATTTACATCACTCAGCATGGCTTTATCTGCATTTCTTTATTTAATGCAGTGTAAAATGAAGGCAGAACTTGTTCCCCACTTCAGAAGCTGTGAAGAGCAACAGATTTATTTTCCTGAACATACGGTAGGATCTCTTCATGATAACATGTAGTCACAGTGTCTGCTTTATTTTTCACCTGAAAATATAGACCCCTTCCAACATATTTAGGTTTCTTAGAGTGGGTATCCTCTCCTGTGAATGTAAAATTCAATTCACGATATTGAAAAAGGGCAACAGAATCACTAACTTAGGATTTTCTGTATCAAAATGCAGCAAAACTAATTCCTACTGTGGAATTATCTTTTTTTTTTGTCTGATATGTCTTTCCTAGAAGGTTTAACATCCAAGAACTGACGAGGCTTCACATTGTTTAGTTGTCCAGATTATAGCCCAGAGTACAGTGACTTTAAAATTAGCATTCATCATTAGATGGATCCTGTTATATTAGTTCCAATTGCTTTGCTAAATCAATAAGTCCTTGTCATCTTGTAATTCCTGTGTTTCTAACTAGAGAATTGGTTCTGATCCAGGATCAGAAGGGGTTTAACATCTGGAAATAAAGCAGTTTATGATAAGGTGCTGCTCCCTGACAAGGTAGCTGCAGAAATTTCTACTTCATGCTAGTCATATTTCTCAGGGGGAAATTAAGAGAGGCATCTGCCTTAGTGCTACCTCATTGTTTCAAAAACAACCTATGCAAATGGAAAAAAAAAATCTAGTCAGATGCAAATTGACCCCAGATATTGCCCTCAAACAATAATTGATCATGACTGAGCCACTGAGAAGTTATTTCAAGTAGCGAGCAGAACAAAAAAAAAAAAATGTGCAAAAGACTTCTCAAATTCAGAAAGAGTTTTTCTGCTTACATATAATTTTGTACATCTTGCTTGTAACTCCAAGATACCAGAGGGATTTGTTATAACCTCATTGGGATTCTAGGTTTATTAAACCATTGAATTAACTAGATTCATCCATGCATGAGGTTTATTCACCTGTGAGAAATGTGAGTAATATTTTTCATAGAATATGCAGGACCAGATTTTCAGGCAACCTTCAGCCTAGCCTTCATGTTTGTCCTTGCAAATGCAAAGTTAGAGATGTAAATATTAAGACATAATCAGTTCATTCCCAAGAAAAACTGTAGTGTTTAATTATTTATGGATGCAAATATTTATCCAATAAAATCCAGATCTAGTATTATAAATCAGAAATTTTATATTAACCAACTTAATACCTTTCCCACCCTCATACAGCATCAGAAAGAAGAGGATGTAAGTATATGCAAAATAAGCAAGTGGAACAGCAGCATTTTGCACCATATGGTGCATTTCATTTAATGAAACGAAAGTTCATCACCAGTGCAGTATGTTCACCAAGGCACCATTTTTGCCACCATATGCAATAAATAAAATTCCAGTACAAAGCATATGTTTCCCTTTATTGTCTTTCTGGCCATCATTATCTGTACAGACACAAACATATAGACAATGAAATCCTGCTTGAGACATTTTACAGTCTTAAAGAGTACAGAGACGACAAATGTTATGCAGTCTAGACCTAAACAGATTTAAAGGCTTCAGGCTTGAATTCCTGCAGACATTGCTAGCTAATGCTCATCTCTGAGTAGGACAGGGATAAACATCCCAGCGTGGAAGTGCACTGAGTCAGAGCTCCACAGCAGTCAGAGAACCAGTGACAGCCCACTTACAGAAAGCACCACAGGATGGCGTTTGTCCCGCACCTCTCAGCAGGGGCAACCACATCTCACCCCGGGAAATAGCTCAAAACCTTTGCAGCTGTGTTTACAGATGTGCACATTCTACTTATGGTTGATAAGACACCTGCTATTCACACGATGCTGCCCGATGGAGTTGCTGTACACATGTTCAAGTCTACTGTTGTCACTGGAAACATGTTTTTTGTACTAGAAGCAAGCCACTACTGAGAAACTGGAGTAACAACAGTGTATTCAGAGATAGATTTGGGGGCTATGGTTGTTTGTTTTGAGAAAATGAGACTGGTTTTGGATGAGTATTTTCTGTTTCTCACATAATGTAATTTTCACTTGATTACTCTTGAGAGTGTCTTGAGACATTTGAGAACAAATAACTAGTAACTTAATTCTAACATTTATACATCTTAACATGACCTCTCACAAATGACATCAGTTCAGTGCTATGTAGTGGTAACCTTTACAGTTCAAGGCTCATGGCAGAGCACTCTTCAAAAAGCAGTACTACTGGGGGCATTGAAAGGGATGAAATGGACTTGAGAATTCCTATAGAAAAGTGTAAAAACTAGAATATATAGATACACACCCCACCACTGAAGCCAAAATCTCCCTAAACTGGAAGCCTCAGAATTCTAAATAGAAACTGCCTGATTCTTAAAAGTAAAGATCAGTGCAAATCTAAAAAAGAAGGAAAAATTCACTGGTTTCTGATTGAGTTCCATTGCAAGAATGGAATTTTTTTTTTTTAATAACTTTTGCTGGTTGGGATATCAATTGTTTTGAGATTAAAACATTCTCTGCATTCAGAAGTGTAACACCACTCCACAAAACTAGCAAAAACAGATTATGAGATGCAGGTGAGTCAGGCCCTTACTCTTGACATCTTGTGCAACACATATTTTGATTTTAAGGCAGCCTTGATGTAGCTGATGCTTTCACATCTCTCAGTGGCTGTGTTAAGTGTGTTACCTGATCATGAAAAAGCCTTTCAAGCCTTGTACATCTCTGGGGAACACGGTTTGCTTTGCACATGCAGATAATTGTAGGTGCAAAATTAGTGACTGCTGCCTCCACAAGCTGTTTGCAATTGACAGTACCAAGAAATCTCCTTCCAAGGCTTAGGTCTCTGTGACTGAATTCTGTAAACACCTTGAATGAAAAAATGTATTTGCTTACTCTAACTAAATAAAATACATGGCAAAGTCATTCTCACAAGATTCTTATGACCCTCAAAGTCAAACCACTTCCATTTATTGCTACTGAGATCCTTCAATAACCCTTCAAGACGAGACAATAGGGCTAGACTGTTATTCTCTACAGCCTGTAAGTGTTCAGATACTTCAGATATCTTTTAATAGAGATGAAGAAATTGTGACCTGGAGAAGTAAATGGAGTTGCCTGAAAAAAACCCAAAAAAGCAAAGGCAAGGAATGAGTTCAACATGCTCAAGCTCCGCAGCACGTTGAATATGAATAAAGTGTTACACTACAAGAATACTGAAAACTTTTTAGTAGCTCTGGCTATAAGTGCCCCTATGTATAGCATTACCATATATATCATATCATATTATTATGCATAACCTATATTATTAATTAGAGAATACTACTTTACGCCTCCTCGTTTTATAATGAGCATCAACCCAAAGTTGTTCTCACAAGTGACACACGGGACAAACAGTTGTATCCCAAATGGTATATTCCTTGCCTGAATGTCACTATTCTTACTTAACTTCATTCTTTCTTAACTTTATTAAGGGTTATGAACACCAAGGTCATAAAGAAGATAGTATTTGTATACTGGCATTTTAACGAGAATTAATAGCATATAGCGGATGATAAAGATGGCAATCATGTTTTTAAGTATAATGATATCTCAAATTATTTCCTACAGCTTAATATTAGTCATTTTAATGGTGGGAGAATTTAATGCATTTCCAAAAACATGCTAATAAATTTAGACCTCAAGCCCTAAAATAACTTTGTTTATTGTTTACTTTTTGCTGCTTTTACTGACCTTATGCATAATAAGTCTATTATATTCTTCCTGCAAAACAGGTCTGCTAAATACATGCCCACCTCAAAGCTGGCATATATGCCAAAAGCCAATAAGCTAAAACAATACCAATCACATTTGTAAACTGAGATTTGCTCATCCAATAGAGCTTAAAAGCATTCACAGGAAATTTAATTCAAATATTAAAACAAGGTCTTCAGCTGCACAGTGTAGAAACTAAAGGTTACTAAAGACATAGACCGGGAAGATCAAGATGAAGTAGAACGAAAAATTTTGTTTTCACTATCAATCAGACATAAATTTTACCTGGGTCCTAAACAGAAGTGTATGTGATGTGACAGGGAAATAAAGCAAAAAGGGGGAAAAAATCCACTTCTATCAAGACTTTCAATATTCGAGGAAAAGTCAACACTGGGAGAGTAAAAACAAAGAGAAAATAAGCTGTCCCAGGCTGAAAATATACTAGGATCTCAGGGGAAAAGCCAGTCTAGATATACATTCTCATAAATCTGTAGGTACAGAATTCGGCATTGTAATCCCTGATTTAGAAATTGCAGGACTTGAGCCTGCACAGACAAGACAATCTTCACTTGAGGATTTCACCTCCTGCTCACTAGCTGCTGGAAGAGCCTGGGCCTGTCAGCACCACCTCTGCTTTGCCCTTGGCTCAGCTGTGTCCTCCATAGCACCAGACTGGTCATCTAGTCTGGGTGTTCATCAGGTCGATGCTTCTCAACACATCACACACCTCACTCAGGCCAAAGCAGAGCAAGTGCAGTGCAGGAAAAACCCCTTTGCCAAGACCTGCATAATGCCAGCAGTTACATCTGCTCTTCACCACGCACTTCTGAAATCACTACATGTAAGTCTTACAAGGACATAGAAAATGAAATGTGTTCAGAAAAGAATATTTTCCCTCCAGGCCTTCGATTGGCATCTGCAGTCACCATGCTCCACGAGGGACTGAACCATGCCCTGGATGGCTACACTGATTTCAATGCATGTCTTGTTAAGTTCTTACCTCTAATTACTGTTGCTTGGTAGGATGGG